CTCTCTCTCTTTCTCTCCCCCCCCCTCACATACTCACACATACATACACACAAACACACACACATGCACACACAAACACACTCATCAGGAACAGAGTAAGATAAGAATACAGCAAAGATGTACAAAGAGTAGTTTTAAAAATTGGAGGGTGAGGATGACATAGACTTGGGAGAGTAGGGGTTGGGATGGGGGTGGGGGGTGGGGGGTGGAGTTTGTGAAGCTATTACAGAGCATTGGCTACAAGGCTGGCTGTGACCCTGACCTTCATCCTGTTTCCTCTTGCTTGTGCTGTTCTCGTTACTCAAGGGCTCCTCCCCGAGGGTGGCTGCGGACGATGTCATGCTAGTCGATGATGAAGACAACGGCAGCTTGTCCTGTCCCAGCTTACTTGCTGATCCTAACGAGCTGCCAGTTGCCATGGGAACTGCAGAGCTGGAGGAGGTGGCAGTGAAGTTGGAAGGGGCGTGTGAGGAGAGAGAGCTCGTGAAGCCACTCAGGCTGTTCATTGGTGCCGATGAGGAGCTTATACTGTTGTGTTTCGAGGCAGCTACGGTAGTCGCCACCGCGTTGTTGCTGTTGCTGTTGTTGTTACTGTTGTTGCTGCTGGTGATAGTGCTGCTGAAGCTGATGTGGTCTGAGTCTGTGGTGGTGAGGAAGCTGGAGCCAAAGGTGATGGCTGGAGCACTGCGGTGGTGGGGGTGCGGGTGGTGGGGGTGGGAGGGGCCGCTAAGGGTGCCCGACATGATGCTGTGGTAACCACTGGCGGTGCTGCTGATGCTGTTGCTGTTGCTGTAGATGCCGCTGGTGGTGCTGTAAGCATTATTGTTGCTGCTGCTGCTGCTACTGCTGTTGCTGCTACTGGTGATGCTGCTGGTAGTGGCAGTGGTAGGGAAATTTGTGGTGAGGCCACTGGTTCCAGCACTGAGGGGTGAGGGGGTGAGGGAGGCGGAGAGAGGGGAGGTGAGGGGGGATGTGAGGGATGAGGTAGAGGAGGAAGAGGGGGGAGCACCCGCGGGAGGGGATGTCAGTGCAAACCGGGCCAACATGCCCAGGCCTGAGTCATGAGAGGACACTGTACTGGGTTCTGGACAGAAAGAAGAGAGGGAAAATACAATGTTAATAATAACATTACTACTACTAGTAATAACAGTAATAGTAACAATGATAGTAAAGATAATAACAGCAATAATAATAATAATAACAATACTACTACTACTACCACTTCTACCACTTCAAAGATTTCCATTACTTCTTACTTATAAATTGTACAAACTCCACCAATAAATTGGTTGTATCTATTTTCATGAGGCAAAACTCTGAGACCTAACTCTCTTTGTCGACACACCTCACAAATGTTTTTTGTCAAATATTCCTAGCAGTGTGGTTTCCTGCAAGCACCAACCTGACTTGACTGTGACCGCAGCTGTGGTGACCGGAGGTTTCTGAGCCCTGGACTTGGGGGGACGGCCTCTCCTCTCCACATAGTCTGCAGACCGGGCCGGTTTGGACATGCTGGGGTCTGAAGACACAAACACAGGGGTTTGAATTTTAGTTTGAGTAATAATAGATAGCATTTGCATAGCGCAAATCCCCGCTCCACAGCAAGCTCTATGTACTTCACAATCTATACTATTACCCCAGCAGACCTGAGAGCAAAGTAACACACACAGTGCTAGGTCACCAGCCTCATGCTGCTTCTGGCATATCTAGGCTAGGGGCTTGAAACACTCAATAAACAATAAAAGATAATATCGCGTTGAGTATCTTGTCTGCAAGAGATGGCCAGTGCGCCCGACTCCCAGTGAATAAAATCGTGCAGTGGACCCAAAATGTACGTCTTGGGGTTTGCTTCTGTTCCCTGGCTGCTCGCTACTTACTCGCTCTGACTACGCCTGTGAGTAACGAACCTGTTTGTCCATTCCTCCTAACACAAAACAGACAATAGCCATTCATTTTAACTTAAGGGCCCCGTCTTGTATTTTCTTCATGAGTTTTTGTTCCTCAAAGCCCAGTTGGGTATATTTTTCTCACATGGCACTGGCAACATCAATTCCATTCATGTTATTGTACAGTAATCTAGCCAATTGTCTCTGAATAAAATAGACATGTCTTCTAAAACTTCCCTGAGAAGCATTAAAGAATTTTTGTTTAGTGTCTGCAAAATATTGCAGAGAAACAAACCTCTCTAATAGGGTCAACCCGGCAGAGAGGAATACAACACCCTGCAGAAAAACCGAGATACTTGATAAAAATTATGTTCTCCCTACACAGGAATTAAACTCAGTTCTCCTGTGAGTGACAGCGTAGCACTTAACCACTACACCACAGACAACGGTGACGACCCCTTCAGATAAGTGCATGATCACATTGCACCTGTCAATGTACCCAAATTTCCTCACTAGGATCACTTAAAAGGGTGTTCTTTTCTTTATTTTAAAAAAAATCCTTGACAAAACCCCACTGAGGAATAAGTAAGCGATCAAACCCTCCAAAGAAGTAGGAGCCCTGTTTGAGGAGTGCAGTGCTCACCTTTCCAGCCGGCTTCTTTGCTCTTCTTCTTGTGCTTAGCCTCAGTGAAACTAGGCCAGGTGCTCTCGTCGTAACCAAACAGATCTGTGGATATGTGGGGGTGAGGGGGTGGGGTGATTAATTTAGTAAGCATTTAACTTACAATATAATCAAGTCATATACGTGCCGAAGATAAGGGGTGTTACGAGAGAATAGCAAACACAAAAAAGAAGGAGAGATAAGGATGATAGATGTTTTATAGGAATAATGAGCAAACTGCACTAGAGCACCTACCAACCACCCACCGGGGGAGGAGGGGGGGGGGTGGAGTAAGGGTGAAGGATAGAGGTTGGAGTTGAGAAGCAGGGAAGAGAAAAGAGAGGA